CAGTTGCAAACTCACGTATCGGAAAATGCTTGTTAAGTCGGGCTGCCACCACCATGCCACCAGTCACTTCAGAAGAATTTTCACTCGGCCTCAGAGCTGACATCGGATAGGCCCTCCTCCCCGTCGTCGTTCTCTTCATTCTCGTCCTGCCCCATGTCTTTGATGACTTTCTGCCATTCCTCCGACGAGCGACTCAGATCGTAATGCGTTCCTTATACAACTGTTTGCAAGGGAATCTCAAGGGTTTGGACATGCATGTAAATTGGGTTCTAGTTACAAAATGTTCCAGTTTTGGGTAATCGGTGGCAAGGGTGGTTGTAAGATTGAAGCCGAACGAGATAAAGGGATTGGGTTTCAGGATCTCACTTGTGAACGGTTTTCAAGTAAGTGATGATCTCTCCTACTCAACGGGGCATGGGCTTGCCACTGTATGACAATGAATACTCAAGGGATTCGGTTTTGAGCTTTGCATTGTGTATACGTCAAAGCGTCCTCGGACACGGCGGGATCGTGGAGCGGGCTGCCGTCGGACTTCATCGCGATCCTCAGCAAGTTTACTACGTAGAACGGCCACAGTGGCTGCTCCAACCCCTGGCCCCGCTCTAACAACTTTGAGTGCCTTACGCCAGCAATGCCGGAAGCTGCGTGTTGAACAACCAATCCTGGTGCGTCTCGTTTCGGGCGAGACCACAGTAGAGCCTTGGAGTTTCACGGAGGATGCAACTGTTCGAGCACGCCGCCCGTCGTCCCTACCTGAATTTCTAAGCTTGATGCGCATTGCGCTTTGCACAAACCAGGGCCAGCTGGCCGTCGCCGGGAGTCAAGTCAATTACGGCTCGGGCATTGATGCCTTTGCTCGTCAATGAGAACCGGGTGCAAAAAAATCAAAGTCAAAAGAACAAGTGTACCCGCAGAAAGGCTAAAGTTCAAATCAGATACTGTGCATAAGCTCGGACAATACCGCTTCGGAGTCTGCATGCCAAAACAAAGGCTCCTTACCTGCATGCTTCTCTTGCAGCCACTTCTGGAGCCTTTTGCTTGACTTCTTCTTGGTGTGTTCCTCGGTCATTGCTGCTTTGCTGCGCAAAGGCATGTTTCTACACTACTTGCAGTAGATTTCCCGCGATTTTGCCAAGACACCCCCGAATCGTGCAAGGGAGACAAAATCTTCTCCTTCAGATCCTTGTCGACATACGTTAGCTTGCTCAGCTTTGGCACGATGACATCTTCCAAGACGTCACTGGAAGTCTTGCCTTTGCCAATTGATCGGTCGCAGACCTGCGACATTGAAATTGTCATGTAGGAACACACCAAGATGCTGCTGCCTGCCGCGCAAAAACAAGACATCGAGCCGTGAGCCTTGACCAAACTCTTCCAAGGCTCCTTCGGAGAGATGAAGAAACAGTTCTCAACTCTCTTCAAGGAACCTTGGCTCTCAGGGCTTGCCCATACACGTTTCCTGTTGTCAATGAAAAACTGAAGTTTAAGACTCAGTTCAGTAGCCGAACCCTCTGCTCGGATACCGGCTTTCCATCTCGGACGCTGAAGAAACCAGAAGGAGCTCCTGGGAATCACACACGACGACGAGTCTAGGCAAGTCGCATGTTTAGGGCTTTAGCGCTCACTACTCGGACAATCCAGTTTAGGGTTTAGAGTTTAAGGTTTTTTCGGTCCTTGCGGTTCGGAAAGTATCCCTGACTCGAGCGATCCGTTGGGAATAGCGACGTGATTTTGGACCTTGTGAGCGGCGAACGGCCGTCGAGCAAGACAAAAACCTCGGACGAGTAACTGAACGAACCAGTTAACGAAGCTCATGCAGTGAATGCAATGCTGGTGGATTTGACTAGACCCTAAACCCTGGACAAAAACTCAGGTTCACACCCATCGGTTCGTAACGAAAGGCTCGTCCAAGAGCTGCTTCGCCACCTCGAGCGGCTTGAAGGGCTTGTCCGTCAGCCTCCGCTGTTGCTGCTGCACACCATGATGCAACCAGAAACACTAAACCCTAAACCCTAAACCATCAACCCTGGACCCTAAACCCTGGACCCTATCAGACAACGCCAGTATTCGCTTCATGCCAGCCAAGACTCGGAGGGAAAGTCGCGTAAGCCCTCGTCTTACTCTCGGTCCACATCTTCGGATTCACGAAGATCACGCCTGTCGTGTTCTTCTTCAACTCGGCCTTTGCGGTGACGGTCTGGGTGAAGATCTTGGCAATGGACTCGGGCGAGCTCATTGCTGGGGGCGTCAGCAGCTCGAAAAGCTTGGCCGTCTTGGCCTTCGCCATGGATAGCAGCTTTTCTTTGAGCTCTGCGGCCTCGGACATCGGCTGGAGATTTGCACTCGACTCAGCACCGCCATCACCACCATCGCTGGTAAACAGACTGAGGATATTAAGCGCCGTGGGCGGGAAGTCCTTGTTCTTTTGCTCCTCAATCTTGGTCATGACATCGGCGAAAGAGCCATAGCTGAGCATGTCGGTCACCGAGGCGCCGGGCTGGTTTTTCGCCAGTCCACGAAGGCTCGCATCGAACTCACCGCCCTGCCAGTTCTATTCAAACGGAAACGTACAGCGATACGACCACATGTAGCTGCCGATATCAAACGAGAGCATTCCCACACAATCACACCTGACCCCTCCAAGCTATGACTTGTCAGCCCGCTCACATGACTAAATTGCGTCGCGGCACTAAGTCTATCTTTTCTAATCTTGCACGCATCCGCAAAAAAAAAACTACACATCAGAAACTTCGAAGCATAATGACGAGTTACCTGACAGAGCCATGCTAAAAATCACAAGTCCTATCGGGAACATAGTATGGACGACTCCTTGTTCCGAACAGCTGCAAAATGAAGATGACGAGCCGCCTGAATCTCGTGCATCAGGTCCAACACCATCTGGACCGACTTCTTCTCGGCCGCCATCCAAACGCAAGATCCGGCATATGTCTCGTCGTGCTTCTCCGGGTCCAGAACCGCGCTTCGTGCCTGCTGCTGCGACTCGGGCGCCGCGATGCACTTCAAGATGAGTTCCTTCATGTAGCTGTACCGCCAGCACAGCGTCTCCCAAAGGCCCACCTTTCCTCGGCCGCCGACAAGAATGTCCTTGCCCATGACAGTTGAGAAGTGGCCCTTGAGAATGCCGCTTCGGATGCTTCGGACGATGAACCGGTAGTAATCCCTTCGTCCTGCCAGGTCTGGAGCAAACTGCTGTCACTGCAGACACGCCTGAAATCATTTCAGAAAGAAATTTTTGCCAAAAGTCATGCCTTCCAACACATCTGGCATGCTGCGCTTTTTGAAATGACCTCGGACGCAGGTCATCATCTTGTCCACCTTGGCCCAGCCCGACACGGGCCCCTCCTTGCCCAAGCACATCGCTTCCACGCGCTCGAACTCCAGCTTCAAGGAATCGCAGGACAACACTTCATCCGCGAAAACGCTCATGCACTTCAGCGCGGACGCCGAGTATGGTCCCTCGCGACAGGAGTGCATGACGAGCACTGCCACTGCGTTTTAACGACTTAGACAGGGTGGAAACAAACTGACAAACTAAAATGCCTGGCCTCGGACGCTTCCTTCTTGTCCTCGGCCTTGCCACCCATCTCGTCTGTGTCGGTCGTCTTCACCTGCCTGAACCATTCCACCAAGGCTTGGTCGCCCTTCACTATGCCCTCCCTCAACAAGACTTCCTTGGTGTACATGACCTTTGCGGCCGCGGCCGTGAACGTCAACTTCATTGAGGCTTTGCTTTTGAGGGCTTCGTCCATGCGGAAGGTGGTAAGCATGACGGCAGACTCGGACGGACACACATACCACTTCAAAGGCATGGATGTAAAGGCCACGATCCACTCTTTGACACGCTCGGTCAAGTCCTGCATGAGACATGATGAGTTAAACAAAATGGCCTGCTCTAATTGCAAAACGTGTTGTGCTCAATGAGCGGTTTCACCTGAACTGGCATTAGCCAAAAGCTGTCCTTGGAACCAGGCTTCTCGCGGAACATCTTCTCGTACTCGGTCAGGAAGGCGACCATGCATCCGAGGACCATGTCCTCCCCATAAATCACTCGGACCTCCGCTTTTCCAGGATAGCTCATCATGTCCGGCGGCACCATCACAGCCACTTCCATGCCACCGATTCCTCTGGGTTGGGAAACCTCGGACTGCGAAAACTTCACTGCTTTGGGCACAGACATCCTCTGCGATGAGCTCGGGAGAAGCCAAAACATGCTCCTCAGTGCTTCGAATGCTCAGGCTCCAAGTGCAGTTTAACTTGACATGCTTGTCAATGTTCAGATTCCATGCTGCCAAAGGTTCCCGCCAGCAGTCATGCTCGGACCTTTCATCGTCCGGAGGCTCGACGGCACCAGGGGTGCGATCGTGGCACCGTCGGCCACGTTCGTCGGCCGAAGAAGCTCCTGTGTGCATTCCCACTGGACAATCAGGAGACGATGAACACGAAGATGACGAAACCGACTAGGGTTGGATTCTTGTGAAAGTGTTTCAGTTTACTTCTGGCTAAGACAACAAATTGAGTCTTCGGGTGCTTCCGGGCTCCTACGCTACTGTTCCGGCTTCGAGCCCTGTCATTGTTCAACGGGGATACTTGCAGACGGGTCTGGTGTGAGAAACGGTGCTGTGATAATACTTGCTGTGTCTGAATATCAATGAAATAACCTTGAGACATCGAATATCCAACCCCCTCGGGCTCGGCTTTTTTCACGCGCGGCTACTCAGTTGCTGCTCCATCAGCATGTCGACGCTTCCCTGCGTCTATCCCATGTGCCAGAACCAAACTTTCTATCGCCCACCACTGCAGCTAAGATCTACAACCTAAGACAACCTAGGACTGCGAATCACGCTGTAATCAAGTTAGATGACAACAATCTGGATTGGGCTTGCAGAACATTTGGTCGCAGCACAACCCTCGGTCATTCCGTGCTTCCCCGGGAATGTCTGGCATCAAGCAGGCTCGGACTGTACAAGTTCGACATGCACTTATGCAGACTCGGACTTGGTGATGTTCTGCAGACACATGCGGTTGATCCAGCTCCACCATTCGGTGCGGCCTGCTTTGTTGGGGCCTAATGCCCGCATAGTCTTGCCGGAACAAATGACTGCAGTATTTGGCGACTTCCTCGTGGGCTCGGCTTTGAGAATTTCCCACTTGCTGTCGCTCCTCTGCGATAACTCCACAATCAACTTGGCCAATCCTGGGTACTTGCCGCGGAACTCAGACTCTAGCCAAATTTTCCTTGTTGCAAGGCTGCACTGAAAACCATCAGGAATAACTAACTTAACAGTAAAAATAAACACAAGTTACCCTGTCATCGGCAAGGAACTGTGTGCTCCGAGCCTGCACCCCCCCAGCGAAGCAGACTCGCTTGTGCTTAGTTACATCGGCGCCTTCGCAGATGGTCTTGCCCCGCAACATGGCCTCGGCCGCTTGCCAGCTCGGAGTGTTTAGATTGTCTACCACCACCAAGTCGGCCAAGGCAACCTGGTCAACCAGAACTTGTCGCGGGCCCAGTTCCGTCTTCGCCGCTGTGGCCTTCGGCAGGACATAGACTCTTGCATTCTCGAGGCTGGGCTTTTTGCTGGGCTGGCTTAACTTGTCCAGCAGGCGCCGCTGTCGAGCAGTGACTCTTCCACGTTGGCCTCTGTGGAGCTTCGTCTTCAAAGCGGCTGTTGTTTTCGGGCGGAGTCCTTGTCCATGTGTCTCGGTCGCTTCCGCCACCTTGGCTGCCTGTTTTTCGGCCAAGGCTCTGTGTAGATTGGTGTGACATTCACTCCAACATGACTTCTTCGCCTCGGCCGGGATCCTGGTGCCAAACATACTGCCCGATGCTGTGTCTTTCTCGGACAACTTTCTGGTGGCAAGTCTCTGATCCTTGATCAACGTTGCCTCGGATCTCTTGTGGCATTTCCGTCTAACTCCTCGGGCCAAGGTCCCCAGCTTTTTGTCGCCATAAGCACCACGAGGCTGCCCAAAATACTCTACGTAGAGACGTTTGGCCAGTTTTACAAGAGGCTGCGGCACTCCGTTGCTCACAAGCTCGGACTCTTCCATCTCCGAGATCTGAAGTCGGTCGCCTGGGAGCCAAGAAATTAGAAACACAAGCTGGCCCTGGCTTCGGGCCGCAACATGTCGGTCTGAGTTTAGGGACGTGTCTTCAGGGAATTGAAAATCCGGCCGAGGCACGAAGACGCAAAAGGGATTGCTGGGCGACGCGCTTTGCACTCTGACGCTCTGCTTCAGAGAACTGACTCTCAACGCCCTGTGTGGAGGCGAGGCTGGCCGCGTAAAAGCGAACCATAATCAACCTCTGCGAAGTTGCTGCGACTAAGAGACACAGGCATCAGCAACGCAAACTTCAGGTTTGAGTTTTAGGGTTTAATAAAACGGTTGTGGAATGTGGCGATTTCACCATAAGTAGATTCTGTACGGGGCTTGCCTGACCTAACTCAACTCCGAGCAGCAGGTGATCCACACGGGTGTGACTTCGGGCGGCTTTGTGCCGCGCGAGCACATTGGCCCAAGCCTCCAGGTTGTTCCCCAGCTTACCCCAGGCATGCAAAAGCGAGTCCTGTGTTGCCGAACATGTGTCTGCTGGGGTGACTCGGGCGACGAACAACACAAACGACCAAAGAAAGGGGGATTAACACAGAACAGCTCAAAGGGAGCGTGATTGTCCTTGACGTGGGTGAACTGCAGCCACGCCTCCTCAGGCGGCAAGTGCAGGCATGACGCCAGCTTGCGGAACTTTTGTTCCAGCTGGGCAACCCTCTCTTTCCGAGCATGATTGCAAGCAGACGTCGGCCCGAAGTTCTTCTCGATTGAATACCACATGGCCAGCGACAGTGACTCCAGCCTCAGCATGAGCTCTTGGGCCGGGAACTCTGCTCGGACGCCTGCCAGAATGGTCTTGACCTTGGCAATGGGATGTTGTCACAGTCTTGACTTGCCTTAACCTATCAATCCTTGGGATCAAACCTGATGGTTAGTGACAAGTAACTCTAACAACGGAAAAAGACGAATCCATGTTCACTCACGACCAAGAGGCGAAAACGCAGACTCGGTCGTGCACTCGGGCGAGGACTTCTTGCCGCTCTCGGGCGCAAGGCCATGACAGACCATGTCTTTCTCCGCCGAAGGTGAAAACCTTTGCCTCCTTGATCTGGTCCAGAATGCGCCTGGTCCATGATCCTTGATTCTCGGACGACCATATGCGACCTTCCAGGAATAGCCGACGCATCTGGGTCTCAAACTCGTCCACGCAGGCGCTCGCAAGGCTCGGGTCGCTGAACTCCGCTTCCACCTGCCTGCAAAATGTCAAGGTCATCTCCTCAGTTTCGGTATACAACACTCAGGTTACAACTCGAACGCGACAGTGGCTGTCACTCAGTTCAATTACAGCAGCCGTTCCTAGGGTTGTTGGGGGCTTGGGGTGTATGCTTTGCTCTTGATTGAAGCCTTGGAAACCTTGAGTCAAGTGACTTCGGCGTCTGACACGCAGGCCATCAGCGCCACCCGCTCGAACGTCAGTTGCCTCAAACGCTTTGCAGCCCACTGTCGTTCCTCGGCCGTCGTCGCCTGCTCCGCGTGTTTGGACAGTGCCGTGCAAGTCCCCAAAAGATGCAATAGGAGGCGTCGTTCGGGGTCCACCTGAGACTGAAACCGTGCCTTGCCGTACCGCAGGCTAAGCATGACAGGAATCGGATCCGCGCTCGTCTCTTGTTGCGCCTTACAAGCAATCTCGAAACGCTCGCGAAAGGCTGCGTTGAACGAGATGCTCTTTGCGACGGAGGATGGCCCAGACACGAACTCCTCTTTGAAGTTCCTAATCTCCTGGTCGCAATCGACAGCATTCTTCAAGGCTCCCACAATGGAATGTCCTCGGTCGCGTATGATTGCACGTAAGTTCGAGAGGCCCGAGCTGGACAGCAGTCTGCAGGCCTTCTGTGCGTACGGTGCCCCGTCCGCGGTCACGCACGTCACGCAGGCTTTGAACTCTGCAGCTGAAGCCTCATCGAGGACGCCTCGGTCGTCCAGGGCGCCTGTTCCTCGGCTGAAGAACTGTTTCACGACGTTCAGGATGGCGTCGCTGTATTTTTCGGCTCCGCCGTGCGTCTCCAGCGCGCCCAGCAGCCCGCGTTTGCGCTCGAGCTTCTCGTTGACAGCGGTAAAGCGTACTGCCACGATCTTGTCTCGGGCATCATGGGCAAGGCTGATGTCTGTCTTTCGGCCGGACTTAGCAAGCCAGTCACGAAGTTGTTCTCGCTTGGCCTCTGCAATAGCCCAATGCATTTGACGCAGTTTGTGCGGCGACAGAGTGACCTCCTCGGACGAGCTCTTGCATTGGGCTTGTTTGGCAACACGAAAGGCAGTGAGCCATGAGTTCACCGGAAGGGCATCTGGCCCTGTCCCCAAGTGTGCTGGGCCTGCGACCGAGGTGCTGCTGGCCCTGCCAGAGCTGTGACTGTCGACTGAGCTGGTAGCTGCAAGGTCTGGGCGACGCTGGAGCGACTGTGTCTCAACAGTACGCATAGGCTGCTTCTGTGCTTTCGGACGTGAGACTTCCATGTACACAGTGCAGTCGGGCCGTCCAGCAGCCGCAGGCGCCGCAGGGAGCAATGCAGCGTCGGGCAACATGAAGGGTTTCATGGCCTCTTGGTGCTGTGCTCCTGGTCAGGTGGCCATATCAACGTCTTTGGGTTGCATGTAAAGTTAAAGGCTTATAGATCAATGTACTGCGCAATACTGACATATAGTATGATAAGTCAGCTTGTTCCTCGGGCGTGCTGTATGACATTCTGGAACTGCAACCAGCTGCACACCTCAAACCGGCTCCAGCGGGTGTGGCTAACACGTTTCTCGGCCGCTGCTTGCGCGCAAAAGATGCAGCCTACGCCCCAGTCCTGGCCGTCGCTTAAAGGTTTTTAGGGTCTGTACGTTTTGCGGTTTAGGCTTCCGGGTTTGGGGTTGACAAGCCAAGCTTATATACATTATAATATACAAGTATAATACACATACACATACATATACTACGTTATTCTTTAATATTGATTGTCGCGTGCCGAATGTCTCCGCCCCACTGGCTCGGTCGCATCGACAGCCAGACGTGGCCCGAAGGCGTGACCAACCGCGGAAGCCACTTGGAATGAAGCCGATAAAAGGCGCATCGGCCGTGTAGCTGGCCTGTGCTTCGGCAATGATTTCAGCCATTGAACATTATGGTAACTGAACATAGGCTACAACATATACAGTACTGTCGCAAAACCCACTCTCACAAAGCAACCTGAGACGACCAGCTGAGGTGCAGGAACTGTCTGTGCAGCTGGAGCTGTGAGAAGTCCACTCTTCTTGTCGTCGCAGCTGGTAGCACTCCAGTTTCGGAAGCGAAGTCTCGAAATGTTTGGAAAATGCTTGACTCATCAGCTGCGATCTTTTTCGTTTTGCTCGGACACTCCGGTTCGGACATGCTCTGGGCGGCTCGATCTCGTCATCCATATTGGCTGCTATCTATCACCAAGCCCTGTCTCTAGGGTCTACGTGGAATCCTCAACCGTGCTGCTATTGAACAACAGGAAAAGCCTCTCCTCAGACAACCTTGCATTATACTGGATTGGGCCCGCTTGAGCCTGCAACAGTCACGCAGCGAACATAGCACACAATTGGAAGTCCGAGGAACAGAACGCGAATTCGAACTAAGGAATGTGCCGTAGACCTTAAGCTGTCCTGGCTCTGCTTCGTGTACTTCAACAGCACGGACCAGCAGCGCTCTTGGACAGCCTCGGGCACCATGTGGCTGCCGTCCTTCAACAGCTCCTCCACGGTCAATGCTGCCAGCCTGGCATGGTCTGACACAGTAGCATTCCGATGCACTCCAGTCCGCCTATGCCCGGGCCTCTTCTGCTCGGACTCCAGCTCTCCAGCTGCAGAGTCTATCTGCGCGCGCATGTCCACCTTCTTCTGGTCCGCGCTTGCTGACGCAGGCTCGGCCGCTGCCTTCTGCTCCGGCTTGTTGGAGTCGTCAGCCACCACCAATGCCGACGAGGGCTCGGCCGGAGACTTCTTGCCCACGACCTTCTTGACCGGCGGCGCCGCAGGATGCTCCGACGCCGTGCGCTTGGGAGTCGTCATCCCGTCAGCCCTATCAGACTGACCTATCAGAAAACCTTGATCCGAACTCGTCTAGTGCACTTCAATAAGCAACTTGTCACGCAAGCCACGGAAGAACAGAGCTGCAAAAACTCACTGGGCAAGCGAACCTGTCTCCGCCTCGGACCTCGGACAGACATGTGGGAATGGTAATGAGTTCACAGACAATAATAGGTCGCTGCGGTGACAAGACATAGCTCTCTGGACCAGATAATCTTGGTTCTCCGATTCTCCGGGAGTGTCTGCGGATGTCTGCTCAGGGAATTGTCTGCGGATATCTGGTCCCAGGAACCAAATTGTCTGCGGATGTCTGGTCCCAGGAACCAAATTGTCTGCGGATATCTGGTCCGGGGACCAAACTGTCTGCGGATATCTGGTCCGGATACCAAACAATCTGCGGACGACCGGTCGGCGGGAGACAAATCTTCCAGACAGATGAAACAAGGACCCGCGGACAGTCAACTATGTCTCTGCACCTTGCCCACCAACTCCTTCCGACAGGTCGGCAGGAGTTGGTTCCCAATGTCAAACCGCTTATCAACAAAGAAACCTTTTAACAAGGTGTGTGCGCCTCACGGGCCAACCCCTGCCGACATGTCGGCAGGGGTTGGCGCGTAATGTCTGTGCACCTTGCGAATTGTCTGCGGCGATCTAACCATATTGTCTCAGGCCTGTCTCAGGGCCCCGCCGGTCCTTCGCCGAGGTCACCTTGCGACTCCGGTAATGGGAACACTTGAATCTGCAAAGTAACATCTGATGCTTTCAGATTCATGATGCCTTGTCAAGGTCCCAGAAGGCATGCTGCATGCGCTCTTCGGTTTCCAACGCACGCCGGTCCCAGTCAAAGCTGCCTACTATTCCGACGGATGAGATCACGACTACCCCTGGCGGATTATCCATCGGGCACCCTCCTAATCTTAGATCTGCTAACGTCAGGCACGCAGTGCCTTCCTCTTCTCGGCCGAAACTGTCACCATCCTCCTCTTTCTGGATGTCAGAGGCTTCTGCTCGGGCTCCTTGATTGCCATCGGTCTGGAAGTTCGAGCTTTCGCTGGGCGTCCCTTACCAGACTTGTGCAGCTTTCCCTCACCAGACGAATCAGCCGGAACCACAGCGCTGCTCGAGCACCTGATCTCGCACGGCACCCGGACCTGTAATGTAACTGCCCGGCCCCTTATTATTACTAGTATTATTTTATTATTCTCGCACATTCATCCACACGGGCTGCTACGACCGATGATTGCGACGAGTCGCTTCAAGTGCACGAAAGACAGCTTAGCCTTGGTGCCACCTCCAACGGAGACCCTCTTCTGGGACGTTTCCCGCCTAAGATTGGCCAGTAGAGCACCAATGACAAACGCGGCTGCTGCAGCTCGGACGTGTTGGGTGTTGCCCACCAGCTTCCGGAGGTTGGACTCGGTCACCCCCTGAGGAATCTTCATGTTGTCAGGAAAACCATGGAGAGCCTCGGTTTGGGGCCGGCCTGTCGAATTCTTGTGCAAGCTGCTGCACGGCTGCATGGGATAATCTAGCAAGTCATTTCGATATCTGACAAGCACACACACACACACACACCGAGATTGCAGTGGCCCACTCTACGAAAAACATACCACTGTCGCCTGAAGGCAAGGCCACTTCGGGCTGAGAGAATGCGGGCCGACGCCACGGAAGCATGAGGCCTGAGCATAGCCATGGCGGAGGATGTCTTCCACGTCGGACTCTGTCCTACTCCATGTCGCGCAAAGTCCTTGCTCTGAGATACATCGACAAAGAAGCGTTGGTTTTGCACTCGATGCTTGGCAGCCAAGCCGTTCAAGACCTCTTTCTGCCTTTGGTTCAAGGTCTTCGTGCCTCGGATTCCAGATTTACTCAATCGAAACAGCCCTGCATGTTCATTCATGTGGGTCCGGCTGCGAAGTTTGAAGCAAGCGACCCTGGTCCAAACTCGAAACTGTCTCGGGCAATGCAGCACCGGCCTTCACAAGTTTGGGGAAGAACTCGGACACAGCGGCCACGGCATCGTCCACCCGAAGCGAATCCTTCCTGATCAGCAGGAACCACAACCTCGGCCTTCTCGTTGCTGCTCCCAGCACGACAGCGTCGAACTCCAACTTAGCTGAACTACAGTTGAGACTCACGTAGGAAAAAAACATCCCGCCATGCGGCTGCATGCAACAATCCAAGTTCATGGACCAGGCACGGCGACAACTTCGTAGTCTCGGGCAACGAACTTGGTCAACCGCTTCAAAACACCGGTCATGAAGGACTTCAGTCCACAGACGTTCTCTAAGACTGCCAAGATCGGCTTTTTCGCAGAAATCGTGCGCAGGGCCGCAAGCCTTAGACTGGAATTGCCGGTCCC